CCAGTAATAATATCTCAATCATGTAGACTTGGAGGAGAAAATTATCAAACTGATAATTTTCTTACCCCTAGAAGGGAGGGATGTTATGCCCCAAAAGTGGAGCATAATTATCCAACTTATTTCACAATATGCCAATATCAGTGGCACACATTGTGAAATACAAATATAATATTAAGCATCTACTAAACAATTGGGAATATACGTGCAATCATGTATCACGTATATTCGCAATTAAAAGTAAGCCGGTGGAACTCGCATCAGCAGTTTCCACTGGGCTCATTCGCATGGTGTTATCATTACACCATGCAGATATGAGGTAATGACCACGACGTCATGGGCTCTCGATCAAATAAATACTCGAGAGACCATTGTCTCGGGGCCAGTAACTCGATTCCTATTGCGGTTCACCTGATACCTTCCGTATCAGTCTGAACACTTGAATGGTATCTAAAAAGTAAGAAATTAAATAAAGAATATTATTATAGTATTCGTTCGCGAGTGTCTTAATCTTCCAAATTACCGAACCCAACCGCTCGGGACTCTAACAATTACACTGAAAAAAAATTGGTGTTAAATTGGCACCGACCGATGTCCCAATGAGTCCACACCGTTTTTGGTGTGGAGTTGCGGTATCGAGATACGCGGTAGCGTGTCGGCCAAGAAAAGTTTTGACCGACTGAGCAAAACATCAGGCCGAGAACACCGCGTATTTATACACGACAGAACTTCCCCCTGCACTACTTCTAAATGATTTACATTCGGTATAATGAAACCGGGACGACAAGTCAGGAAAGTGTCGTTAGTTACATTACATAAATCGCCTATGAGCTTTTCAACGGTATAACTATGGTATTTTTTGGATTAACAGTAAAAAAGATACGCGCATAGCAACGAGTTGATATTCACATTCTCGCGATTCACATTATAAAGTGTGAGAATCAAGCTGTAACGTTCGCAGCGCCGGTCCAACTGAGCTTCATATCCAACGTTGAAGTGTTGCCACCAGTGCATTTGAAAATGGGTTGTGATGTTGTTATGGAGAACCACGGGAAATGTTCTTCTTCACGTTAAATCACTTATTAGAATGAAACGGAAAATCAACTCGGTGTTCTATATCGTTTTCTCCCGTCGAAAATTCGAATTTCATCCCACCATAGCTATATTCATATGCGGACCTTGGACACAAAGGTAGTTTATGCACTATTTGTGAGGTTATTGGTTTATGTTTGGAATGTGACAAAAGTGAGATGTGTCGAAAATATTGTGAGATCAAGCGTTAAAGGTCCGTGAATAGTTAAATTCAAAAAGAAAATATTTTTTTTCTCCGAGTGTAACAGAAAATGTTTTCATTCCGTAGAAAAAAATTCTCTGAATTAAGTGACAGTTCCATGCGAACAATTTTGTGATTATTTAGGAAAAATTAGTAGGAGACAGTGGTATTAAATGGACGCTTTGAACCCTTTTAAAATGTTGATGTCTTATTGAAGTGTTGATGAAATAGAATTTTTTTTTTAAATTAAAGTACATTCAGCCCCTTTGTAATAAGCTTATTAGACTGATCTCAATCGATAAATTTGTTCCTTGGTTATAAATATTGAAACAAGAAGTCAGAAGAGTCCATTCCACCCAATGTTTCTCTAATATTTTTAAACACAAAAAAAACAAAAACAAATTTGTTTTCAAAAAGAATTTTTTGTGAACATTTTGTTCGACTATTCCTATAAGGAAATCAATTCATCCTCCAAGAAATACAATCCACTAGGAATCATCAGAGCAAAAATTGAATGAGGAACCAAATCAAGTCAGAAAATTATTAATAGATGATTAAAAATTGAAATTCGGTGGAGACAATAAATCTGGAGTAGACCTGTTCATTTCCCTTCAATTGTTGATTCAAAAAATGTTGTATCTTATGAAGAATGAATAAGTTAAATTGAATTGAAAAGAACAAATTTCACCGGATGTAAAAACAGTCCTTACTTATTTTGAAAAAAATAATGAGATCTGCCTAAAAACACAAAAACAAATGTTTTTGTAAAAAAACTGGGTCAAGAAAAAGTTTTGTTTGATTCCTACTGGGATGTCGAAGTTTTTGAAAAATACATAGAAATAAAAAAAGGAAGCCAAGTCAGGAATTTTGAATAAATGGTGATAGTGCACAATCAGGTTTTTATAAGAAAAATAGTTCTCAATGGAATAAGTATTCTAAAAAAATTCTCCATGAAAAAAACATCAGTAGGAGCAGGACCAACGTTCTTGGCGCGGAGTTTTTCAACTCACTATCTGTATCAATCTAATCCTCCATCTTTTGATCCGCGCCAAGGACGTTGGTCCTGCTCTCACTGATTTTTTTTTCATGGAGAATTTTCTTAGAATATCCATTTTCGACTTCGTACATCCGGTCTCAAATTTCTACTCGATCGAAAATCCGCGCTCATGGGAATGCCGATCTAAACAAAACGTTGGAGCAAACACTCGCACTCGCTGTAAAAATAAAACCAAAACTCCGATCAAGCCACCGCATCACGTGACCCCTTTTGCCTAAAATGCGAAGCCATCAAAATTACCCTTAGCGACAAAACTTATTGAAAAGAAAATCAGTAACGTCTCACATGCCAAAGCGGCATGCCTTTTTAGATTGAGCTCCTTGAATCAATCACGCGTTCGTAACTTCGGAACCAGTTTATAAGTCCTGCCCGACGTACAAGTGATTGTTTTAAGTAAAATTCAACGAGAAGTATTCTCGCTACCATAGACATTTAATTTAATTCGAATTTCTATGCGTTACGGTCGATAGGCTGCGAATTGCCTATTACGATCATTAGCGGAATTCTGTGCAAAGGACACAAGACAAGTCAACATTTGGAATAATATTACATTATCCAATTATTGTTAGAATTTGAACATGTGCAAGTAAAAATTACAACAAAAAAAATTAGTTGTCAATAGAATAATTAGAAACTTTCATTCATTAGTTCGGGCTCTAAAAGACAGTGAAAAATTTGTTAAATCTCATTCGGTTTATAAGTTATCTTTCTCTTATTTTCTGTTTCGTGGACTTCAAAATTCGGTGTCAAAATTGTGAAAACAATAAGAGTTCAACCATTATTGGGATTATAGCCGAATGAACGAGACATTAGAGACAAAAAGAGAAAAGTGAGTAAATGAGCAAAATTGATTGTCCCCTGTTCAAACAATCTGGCGCTACAACCGAAAAACTTAAAAAGTAGAGTCCGTGTAGACCAAAATTTACAAGCTGACGATGATTTCTGTTCAATCTAGATATTAACAAAACAAGTTCATGTTCCCTTTAACATTTTATCGAATCTTCTAAAATATTTCTGACACAATCGTTCTAAACTCAATCGGTCCGACTATGTAATTTTGCCAATCAATTAAAAACATCCAATAAAACCAAAATTAAGAATACACACAGTGTTATAATTATTTCTCATTCCCATCATCTCTTTACACTTAGTACTTCAGATGCGCACAGCGCTTTAAAGGTAAGGATATACTAAATAAAAATAATTATCTTAAACATGTGAACTTGAAAATTCATTCAATTTATTTAATTTACGATTGAATTTGTTGAATATTATTTTCCTGTTACCACAGAATACCGGAATTATTTCAAAAATTAATTTCATTTAGAAATTTATTCTTTCAATAACTCTGACTTTTTGTTTACCCACTGGACGTTGATTTGCTGTCGATCTAGCTCAAATTACTGGGCTAATGCGCCACGCGTGTCCCTGAAAACCCCAAAATCGCAAACGCAGCGCAATTGCACTGTCTTTTTGGCCACTAAATTCATTCTTTTAAAAGTTTTCTAGAGTCTCGCTTATACAACAGAAGAGAAAACTCCTCGGGCTCTACCCTCGCGATCGTAACTTCGGAATAATTTACTAGCCCTTTCTGACGTTCCGTGAGATAACTCGAGTTATCTAGCGCTTCCCGCATAGAAAAAAAATATAAGTTAAAACTGATAAGTGAGATATAGTGATTTTGCCAGAATTATATCTTGAATATATCCGCCTTGTATACCAGGTATATGCTAGGTATACCCGGTGGCATATATGTACACCCATATATCCCGCATATATCTCAAATATTGCATTTTTTTTGCCGGAAAGTATACCACATATAAGCGGATATAAGTGACATATATTTATATATATTTTTCCATTTGGGTTCGCCAAGTACGAACATCTACGAAAAGGATTGTCTCTGACGAAACGATCGGTGAACTGCGAATCGTTCACTACGTTCTCGTAAAATAGTGCAAGGACACATTATTACAAAAATTATAAAGAAAAAAAATAAGTGCACGGATACAGTTATTCCAAAATTCCAATGCAAATCATAAAGTGAAATAAGGAATATAAACTTAGATATAAAATTAAGTGACAGGAACTGAAAAACAGAAGACTATTAAAGCAACTGGAAAACTATTTTGGACAATTTTCAAGTATTGATTCGTACGAAATTCTTAAAATAATCTATTTATTTTGGCCTTTTCAACTTTTCTCGAAATCATCAAGACTAATCAAGATCTTTAAATCAATATCAATCAAAATTGTAACTTTGATTGAGTTCTCTCTCTCCTTTGGTATTTTTTCTTGTTGAATCAAAAATCTTTTCAAGAAATAAATATCAAAATTAAGTTTATTCAAATTTCTCATCTCATCATTTGAAAACCTGACTCCATTATTATTATTATCCACATTTATAATCAATATTGAAAAGAAAGCTGAACGATTAGTACAGCTGCACCTGGTGCTTCAAAGGTAAAGATCCAAAAACAAAAATAAATATTATTTTATCCCGATAATTGGAAAATTGATGATGACTGATTTAATATTTAATTAAATTCGTTATTGAAAATTTTCCTCTTATCACAGTTCAGTAGACAGAAAAAACAGACCAGGAAAAATAGTCCACACACCCAACACGTGCTAAAACCCAACTTACAAAAACATCTATATATAGAAACTCACCGTTTTGAAATGACAGCAGTTATTTACGTATTTTATCACCGCCACTGCATCTAGAAGAAAGGGAGAGAGACACTCCATAAAAACGACGAAACGATCTCGATGTGCCCAAGCAGCTAAGACCTTCAATAATATAAAGACGATCCTGAGAGTGTTAAAAATATGGATATGATTTTCGCACCTGTGTTGTAAACTGAAGGCTGAGGATGGAGAATGTCACAATGCGACATATGACAAGTTTCTTCCCTGTTTGATAGGGCCATTGACCAACACAAGTAGCAATTATTCTTATTGCTTTGTAATAAGTGTGGTTCCACAAATCCGTGACCGCAGACATCTTTCAAGTTAATCGAAACACCAATTGATCAATCCAGGATAATCACCGCCTTTATCTAAATGATCTGAAAATATTAATAACGAACGGATTTTCCTCCGATGGACTGCTGATGACACGTAATCCTAAGAGTCTACATTTGAAGTTCGTTCTCGACTCAGCAGAAGGTAAAGGACGCGCGCAGCGACAAGTCTGCGTTAGGGTCGCAGTCTTTTGTCGCATGCCCGATGAATAAAGTATAGTTTCCGGAGAGAAAACAGACCATCTGCGTTTGTAAAATTATGAATTTTTCAGCTACTTCACGATGAAGAAGGGTTTCTCCACTCCAAAAAAAGAAGAAACTCCAATTTATTCATTGTTTCCGATGAAGGGGAGACTTTGAAATAGAAAAAAAACAGGAGATGAATTTGAAGAAAAAGAAAATCGTGGAAAGGCCACGTCATGGTTTCGAGGCTCTACGGCACATAATGTGACTTATTCAGCAGAAGTTGGGGGAGAATAGAGGGGAAAAATTTAAGAAAAATAAAGGAGAAATATGCGGTTTGAATTGTTCTGTTGAGGGAAACATTTTTCCTTGCAAGTCTCTAAGAGGCGAGAATAACTCGTTCAACGCAGTGGAAACTTGTCGTCAGTAAGTGAAGATCACTTCTCGTTTTGAGGTTTTTGTGGAGAGAAGGGCGGGATTAAAGTTTGAGGTTCTAATAGTTTTGAGGGTCAAATGGGAGAGACAAGCGGAGGGTCAAACGGGAGAGCTGAGTAAAGGGAGTATTCCTTTCGTTTCTCTCATTTGACTCTTTTCAGATTTCAGTCTGCATAGGTAGCTGGTGCCTATAATAATATTTAATTAACATTAAATAAGAAAAAATAAGGCGGGGGGAATTCAGGGAACGTTGAAATATGGGGGGGTGCCCATAGGGGAGGGGGGGGGGG